GATAAAATTGAACAAAGGATTGACAAAGAAAATATTAAAATATAAAAATAACCCACTAATATAGTTGTGATTAGTAGTAGCAAAATTGAAGTCAATGTCCAATATTCAGGTTAGTTGATTAACTTTGTTTGTCAGACCTAAGAAGAACTACAAAGATGCCCATGTCCTGCAATGCAGTACTTTCATTCCTAGAGTTTTAAAGGAAATCATTCAATAGTAGATAAAGGAGCTTATGCACCAAGATGCTCATCGAAGCATTATTTGTAATTCAGATAAAACTATGAACAAATCCAATGTCCAACAATAAAATATTAAGCAAATTGAGATATAACCATGAATGAAATATTATATAGCTATTGGAGTGATTAGAAAATCCGTATATCAACATGCATCTGTATGCTGATGACATTCAGTATAGTTTAGCAGAATAAGAATTTGGTCCATTTATACTTTTTTTTTGGTCTATGGCTGAGTATTAGAAGAGGACATGGGAAAAGCACACTTCAGTTAAATAATTATTTGCTAAATAAATTTATATTTAAAATAGTGTCATTGGGACGCCTGGCTGACTCAGTCGGTTAAGCGACTGACTCTTGGTTTCAGTTTGGGTCATGCTCTCAGGGTTGTGAGATCTGGTCCTGTGTAGGGCTCCGTGTTTAGCACAGAGTCTGCTTGGGAATCTTTCTCCCTCTGCCCCTTCCCCCGTCCTCTCTCTCACTCTCTGTAAAATAAATAAATAAATCTTAAAAAAAGACAGTGCCATTAATATAATATTGTGACAATAAAGCCAATGGACAACTCCATTTAGAAGAAGTAGAGGGTAAGGGCTTGATAAATATCCACTGAGACCAAGGACCCTACCATCTTTGAGGTGTTGGGGGAGGGCCTTTAGGGTCAGCCGGTTCAACTTGCCAAGCTTTGTAAGGATGTTTATTTTAGTCACATTGACAAATGACGCTCTGTATGCTCCTTGACTTCTGCAACTGGTAAGCAGCCCAAGAAGTTTTCCTCAAAGTTCGCGTCTACCTTTGGGAGAGATCCAACGTTTGGGGGGGAGGTGGTGCGGGGAGAGGCAGATGCTCAAAAGAGCAACTAGGAAAAGCCAGACTTCCCATCTCAAATTTTGTTTTTTTCAGACGAAAATTCTTTTGTTCGGAACAGATTGGCACCAACGTCTCAAAATTTGCATCGGAGAACAAAGCTTCATGTTTGAGTAACAACAATGAGGATAGCACAGCTTGTGTCTCAAAGGTCCCTCCTGCCCCCACTCCCACCGCTCAGATTCTCTATTTCTGGTCGGCCAGGGGCAGAGAAGCCCAATGAGTCAGATGGGGAATGACCTACTGAGGCGAGGGCCTCCGGAATAAAAGATGAACCCCAGGGCGAGGAGCCCAAGAGAGCTGCTCTGGGGGCTGGTGTAGGGGCCTCGGTTTCCCTCCATTTCTGGCGCAAGGACAATGCTCCTGAGCATTAAATTTACCAGGTTCGATCCTGAATAAATGGGGTAGTACTGATTATTTTGGAACGAGCTGGACTGACGTAGAAAGAGCACATATTTTAGAGTCAGAAAACCTATATGCAGTCTTTGCTGTCTCTTATTAGCGATAAGATTTTGGGCAATCACATTGCCTTTCTGGGCCTCAGTTTCCTAACTCATGAAATGGGAAAAAAAAAACCCTGTCTTGTACAACTCACAGTTAGTGTAAAGATACTTTGAATAATAAATTGGAAGTACTTGATAACTGCAAAATATTATGCCTGCTAATTATTTTAATAACGGTTACAGTGACATTGCAATTCTGAATTTTATTTTGGGGTCTTAAGTATTGATTCCCACAGGCTCGTGATTATTTAAGGGCTGATTTATGAGCTGCCATGTATTGAGGTTGTGGTATACATTTTTTTTCCATCTGTGCTTGTGCGACTGGGGCTGCAGGTGGGGGTGGTAAGCCAGGCAGTCAAAGTATCTGAGGAAGGAGCCTGCCCTGAGAAAGCCGGACCAGATACCTTCGTCCTTGCTTATTCAAAATCCCTGAGTTATATATAAAGAGGATATGCAAGCCAATGTCATAATGATAGGAAGGCATCTTGAAGTCCCTTGCGAGAGTGATGAATGACGGTGTCCGACATGGCTCAGATCGGGAGCTGACCATGCAAGGGATTGTCCATTGACCAGTGACACGGAAGCAGAGCCACCCAGCACCAGGGGGGATACACAGTGACCAAAAGATGGGCACCTTCCATCTGAGCCCTCTCCACACTATTTGTACCCCTTTGTGGGGTACGAATAGTCTGAATTTCAAGGTCAGGGACCCTAAACCCCGAGAGATGAGAATCAGCAATTCATTGCCCCTCTTCCCTTTTGTCCCATCCTCCCACCACACAGTAATAGTGATGATGCCTAATGCATGTTTCCAGACATTACTCAAATGATATAATAATTCAATTTTTTTTTATTTTGGTAGAAGAACCAAATGACAGATGTGATACATAAGAAGAGTGGAGCTCACCTTTCCCCACTCCTCCCCACCCCTGGAGGAAGTGTGGTATACACTCTTCTCCCCTCTTGATGCATTTACACTTGTGTGGGTATTAATCACGTATCATTTTGCTGCTTGCTTTTTCCACTAAGTAATATATTTTGGAGATCTTCCTGTTGCCATATCTCTAATGCACTCTGCTTTCTGAGCAATGGATATTCTACCATAATTTACTTACCTATTCCCCTCCCTATTAATAGTGAGTTAGGTTTTTAGTTTTTTGCTACTGTACACAATCCCATGATGGGCATTCTTGGATCCATGTACATGAATTTGAACAATGAGTTGTGTGGGGCACACAAACAACTACTTTTTTTTTTTTTTTGGAAAGAGCCCTTTGATCTTCATATTCGTTGTTATTGCTGTTCATTCTGTAAAAGTGATAATAACACCTATTTCACGGGGTTACCGTGGGGATTAAATGAAAAGGAATATATGAAGACCCAGTTTAGCATTTTTCACAGAAGTGGGTATTTAATAAATGATACCTATTAATATTATATTTGTATGAAAAGGATTGGCAAGCCATGATTTAGAACATTCTCTTTCCAATTTCCCATCATCGAAATAATCACACTTCTCACATCCTCACTGGCAGATTTCATAGCTAGTGCATTCAGGAAAAGTTATTTATTTGAATAACAAATTCTTTGCCCATTCCCCAAACTGCACATTGGAGCAGGGGTTATGAGAGATGGGCAGCATGGTGTGGACAGCAGAAATGGGGTGATGGTGACCATAGAGCTAACACGGGTGGGACAATCGCTGTGTTCCAGGCACGACCTCATTCGTCCTCTTCTTACAGATAAGAAAGGAGAAGCCCAGAGAGGCTAGGTAACTTGTCCAAGGCCACATACCATCAGAGGCAGAGGCCAGATCTGAGTCAGCAGGCTGACGTCAGCATCTTCATTCGGGTTAGTGTTAAAATTGGGTATAGCAGCTCTTCGCTTGCAGCTCACACAACGATGGGAGACTCCTAGGCCTCCGGTGTGTTGCTTTTCATGGTATAGGTTACTTGCTCACAGTATGAGCTTGACCAGTGCTTTTTTGAATGAATGAAGAATCAATGAATAAATGTATAAACAAATGTAGTCTTCCTCTGAAGGCCCCTGTGAACAAGACCATACACTTACAAGAGCGTGAGTGTGCTGTGAACAAGACTACAAGGGACCCCAAAGAGAACCATGCCATTCACTTTCAGCCCAGAACTCTATGTAATGATCACTCTTTTTTTTTTTTTTAAGATTTATTTATTTATTTGAGAGAGCGAGAATGAGAGAGAGAGAGAGTACATGAGAGGGGGGAGGGTTAGAGGGAGAAGCAGCCTCCTCGCCGAGCAGGGAGCCCGATGCGGGACTCGATCCAGGGACTCCAAGATCATGACCTGAGCCGAAGGCAGTCGCTCAACCAACTGAGCCACCCAGGCGCCCGTAATGATCACTCTTAGCATCTATTCTTGGCATAGGTTTTCTCCCATTAATTATACTAATACATGTGGCAGGCTGGCTAGCTGCTCACCAGACCTAGACTGTATTTCCCAGCTTCTTCCCCATCAAAGTGTGCTATGACACGGATTCTTGCCAATGGGATAGGACTGGAATGATGGGTACCACTTTCTGGCGGCGGCGGTTGAGAGGTGTGCCTTCTCCCTCCTTCCATTTTCCTCATCTGCTGGCTGCAGGCAGGGCATTTGGAAGCCCCAGAGGGCGAGGACAGAGCCACAATGTAGAAGGGGCCCAGGGCCCCGGAAGACTGCTCGCCAACCAGCAACACCTGTGTTGGATGTTCACATGAGCCACACGACGTTTACTGTGTTAGGCCACTGAAATTTGGGGATTTATTATAGCTCCGAGCATAATTTTACTCAAGACCCTGATTCCTTCTGAATTATCGAATCTCCTCATAGAGTTTTAGGTATACAGGTTGGTTCGTCTTGTTGTTGGTATCTTGTGAAAGCATAAATAATTAATTAAAAGCAGAGGCCAAAGAAGGATGCCCCAGAAGTTCCTTCTCTCTGTCTAATGAAGGTCCAGAAATAGTCCTTACAATTTACAAAGCAGTTTTCCCTAATCATCTAACCCTCGTCAGTTAGTGGTGTATTTGTTATTAAACAGAGGAGGAGATCAAAGTCCAGTTAAGGCGTTTCCCTCAGGTCACCCAGATGGCAGCTCAGGGGCAGCGTGGGGACTCCAGCCTCCTCTGTCTGTTCGTGCATCCTCTCCTCTTTTGTCACAATGCAGTAATAAATGTGCAGTTCTCCGGGGGTGAGTCCCCTTTCAAAATACGGTGGGAAAGATGGTTCTGACAAGCGCCTTGTCCTTTCCTTCTTTACACCTTTGTCTCTGCCAGGGTTTCTTTGGGATGGCGTGCCCAAAGCTCGTGATTAGAAACAGCTGCAGAAACAAGAGGAAAACATCTTCTAAAAATAAGTAGCGCCTTGGAACACAGTGTGCCAGGACTTGTAGGACGTGGATGGGGATGTGCGATCTGGAGAGGCCACAAGGAGGGTGCTGGTTCTTACACACAAGGTGACTGTTTCTCTTGTCCGCTGCTCCCGGGAGCCCCCACGAACTGGATCTTGAGACAGGGGCCAGAAAAGCTGGACTCCTCCTTCCACTCGGGAATGCGAAGACTTCCTTCAGGACTTCGGACGGCTTTTAAGGTAGAGCCAAATTAGCCCACGGAGATCATGTTAGTCAATTATACGGTTGGTTCAAAATTATTTAATGATACAGGAAAATGCTCACCAGGAAAAAAAAAAATCAGGTCATGGAATAATATGGTGCAAAATGGTCTAATCAAGAATTTAAAATTTTATACAGCCACACACACATTTGGCAAAAAAGACCAAAAGAGAAGGCACCTAAGTGTAGCAGGAGTTATTTCTGGATGATGAGAGATCAAAGTTGAAATATATTTATTTTTTAAATTCCTTTCTGTCATTTTTAATTTTTGTAAAATAAACATACACTATTTTTATAATCAGAAAAAAATGTTTAAGACAGAAGTAGAGGTTGGTTTTTCCTGAATTGATTTAATTTTAAGGTTTTTGCTCATTTTCAAATTATAACTTTGTTGGGAGACAAAAGAAAATTAAATAAGCTACAGAAATTTTGCCAAAAATAACAAATCACTATTAATGTTATAAATTGTATAATAAGTTATCAGATTCAAATTAAAAGCCAGCATAACGGGTTATTCATATAATACTCCACTTTAAATGTTTCCATTTATTTTGAATTGCTTAGCCTGCTTCATAGGGTTCAGATAACATAGAAGCTGTTTCATTTTGTCGTTGTTGGGGTTTTGGTTTGGTTTGGTTTACCTAAAAAATTGTACAAACAAACAAATCTAACCCTCCACAGAGAAAATTAAAAAGCAAACCAGATGACCAAACACAGGCAGGTACTTTTGACAGAAAGTTAAGAATCACATTTTCTAAAGTGTTATTTACAAGAAAATAATCAAGTTCTTACTACAGGCAAGTGAACAAAGGCCATAAGTGTATTTTGCTCAATAAAAATATAACAAATGAAATAACAAATGGATGCTAACCCTGACTAGCGAGCGAAGCAGTCACAATACACACAACTGTGAGAAGCCCCAAATTCTGACAAGAATAGTTGGGAAGCTGGTCAACTTCTGACGGCCTTCCTGGAATCTCCCTAGAGATACCCATCGAGAGACATCTCTACCACTGAGACCCTTTCTTTCAGTTGTCTCCACTGGGGAAGTCGGCTGTGCAGATAACTCAACAGAAGCGAAGCTAAAGGAAGACAAAAACGAATTCCAGTATTTTCTCTGAGTGTAAGGAAAAAAGATCTGAAAAAACCCAATGCTCGACCGAATAGGAATGGAAGGAAATTTTGGCACTCCAACATAATGGAATACAAGGTAATGATTATAATCACAATTATGAGGACCACATCAAACTGTGAGATAGATTTATTATAAAATACCAAATATAGAAGAATATGCAATCTTATCTCTGCTCTACTGCCGTGATTTCAGTGTAAAATCATGTGCCTGTGACCAGGGATGGAAAGGAAGAGAGAATGAAAGCAGTTGCATCTTGGTGAGGTCATAAATGACCTTCCTCCTTGCTTAAACATTTAAAAAATATATATTGTTTTGAATGTGTGTTTTATTTTTATTTTATTTATTTTTTAATTAAAGATTTTATTTGTTTATTTGACACAGAGAGAGAGAGAGAGAGAGAGTGAGCATGAGCAGGGGCAGAGGGCAGAGGGAGAAGCAGGCTCCCTGCTGAGCAGGGATCCTGATGCAGGGCTCGATCCCAGCACCCTGAGATCGTGACTTGAGCAGAAGGCAGTCGCTTAACCAACTGGGCCACCCAGATGCCCCTGAATGCGTGTTTTAGTGAAAAGAAAGAAGATTTATATTTCTCCTCATCTCCATAAATAAAGGAAAGTCTTCTAAATGTGAGATCCTGTGCAATTTGAGTTGATTTAATTCTGGTTTAGAAATAAAAAAAATGATTAAAAAATGACTGTAATTGGTTAATTAAACAAATATTTGTTGAGCTTCTTATTTGTTTTCTATGGCCTGGGTAAGAAATCACTACAAACTGAGTGGCTTAAAACAACACCTGTGTATTGTTTTATGGTGCTGTAGGTCAAGGGTCAGACATGGGTCTCACTGGGCTAAGATCAAGGTGTTGGCAGATCTGTGTTCCTTCTGGACTCTCCAGGGGAGAATCTGTTTCCTTGCCTTTTCCACTCTCGAGGGGCTGCCTGCATTTCTCGGCTCGTAGCCCCTTCCTCCATTTTCAAAGCCAACTATGGCAGGTTGAGTCACATTACATCACTCCCACCCTCTCTTCTGCCTCTCTTTCTACTCTTAAGCCTCTCCTTCTACTCTTAAGCACTCAAGTGATTAGACTGGGCACACCAGGATAATCTCCCTATCTCCAGGCCAGCTGATTGGAACCTGAATTGTATCTGAAACCTCAATTCTCTTTTGCCAAGTGAGGTAACCTATGAATTGTTATTCTGCCTGCTGTAAGGTCCTACTTAGTTCGAGAGGAGGTGCTAGCAGATATTGGGGAAGTGGGGAGAGGGTCCGAAAATGAAGTTCATGGTTAGGAGTTGAGAGTGGCCATGTAGGAGAAGACTCACAATACGGTGTGGGCAGTGATGAGGGTCGTGGTAAATGAGCATGCAGACAGTTGAGAGGGGGGCATCGTTAGCTGGGGTCTTGAGGGAGGTTCGCGATGGACTGGCATTATTAGGCTTGGGACTGGGCCTTGGAGGATAAGTAAGATTTGGGTACAAAAAGAAGGCAAAAGAAGCCAATGGTATTTCAAGTAATCGATATTAAATCAAAGCCAATGAAATAGCCATTTTCGTACGGGAAAGATAGTCAAATATTGACCCTCCAAGTCAACCTCATGCATCAAAGCAAAAGGCACAGAGGCAAAAGACAGCAGTTAAGTGTCGTCGGAAAAGCTCGGGCGGCCTCTTCTACCTCCTTTCTCACTAACTTGGTCAGAACTTCCAGTCTGCTGGTTTGTTTTATCAGCTGTCCATACTCTTATTTTTCCTTACACAGCTTCCAATTATGTAGTTCCCTTCCGAGAAAAGTAGCCTCTTCGCAATTTTTTTTTTTAAAGATTTTATTTATTTATTTGACAGAGAGAGACACAGTGAGAGAGGGAACACAAGCAGGGGGAGTGGGAGAGGGAGAGGGAGAGGCAGGCTTCCCGCTGAGCAGGGAGCCCGATGCAGGGCTCAATCTCAGGACCCCGGAATCATGACCTGAGCTGAAGGCAGACGCTTAACAACTGAACCACCCAGGCGCCCCCTCTTCGCAATTTTTTATGGCTTACAAAGCTTTATGCTTTGAGCAGAACAAGTTCTGCTGTTTTGATTGGACCAGCTGGAGCTGAAGGCTGCTTAACAGAGAAACTCCTACTTGGAGGCTGATCATCCAGCCCCCTCGGATGGTGCCTGCTTAGGAAAACTGAACAGGAGAGACCCAAAGAAAGCAGACATTGTAGGGGAGAGGGACTAGGGGGTGGGGGAGGGAGGGAGGCTGAGAGTTGTTCTTGCAGTGTCCTTCTAATATGTTTACATTATCAAAGGTTTCCTGAGTGTGTATCTGTGTCTTGAAGTCAATGAAAATAGTGTTTGGCATGTTTTATGGAGGAATCATGTGGACTCACCAAACCTCTGAGTCTGTTGTGCCTGCAGGTTATTTTGGTTATTAAGATTTCCAAATTGATTTGATTATTTGTGAGCTGGAGACAGTCCTTCTGGGAGCCAAGTGCTTCTTTTTTACACCTTATCACATGTAGCTCTTATTTAATGATTTTCAGATAATTACCCATAGAATTTTCTTCTTCCAAGTCCTGGATAGACTCAGTATCATATCATATCATATCATATCATATCATATCATATCATATCATATCATAATCAATCTATCATATCATATCATCATATCATAACATGTCATATCACTTTATTGGTGTGGATTCACAAAGGTGAGGATGTTCCTGAACTCCCATGTCTAAAATCCAGAGAACATAGCAACTACTGGATGGTGGTATTGCCGTGGACTCAGTCTCAATAATCAGCTCACTATGGCAAAAGTGGAACGATAGGGTTAGAATGAATTACAAGCCTCTGCATTCACATTTGTCGGGGTTTTTTTTTCCTTTCCAAAAATAGAACGCTATTAAAATTCAAAGCAGAGGAGGAGTCATGAGGGCCGCTAAGTTACAAGGCAGGCAAACCCTTAAAGAAAGAAAATAGTAGACTAGTTAATAAATTAATTCAGGAAAGAAAAAAAGGGTGACTAAATGAAAGAAGACACCTCCAGATGGTATTATTAGTAATTACTGTGATAAGATGGAATAAAATGGAAGCGGACAGGAAGGATAGAGAAAAGAAATGGTTCACAAAGTGTGTCTCAGAAATTTAGAAACAGGAAGATTTTGGATCAACCCTTTTTTATAATCACAAGCTTCAAGGAATTGTAAAAAGGACATTAGAAACAATAACCGGCAAACTGGAAATTATTACCAGCCAACAGGAAGAAAAATTAGGTTCACAGAAAAGAGGGTGAAGACAGCCAGCGCCAAGAAATTCCATAGCAGGGCTTTTTAACACAAGAGAGAGCCTTGAGGATTGGCAGAGGAGGGATGTTCCCCAAGGTATAGGTAAACTTGAAGGAAGTGAAAGAGGAAATAGAAAACAAAGAAAAATTCTTGTAATACGGTTCCCAAAGAACTATGGTAGAAACAACTCAAGAACATCTGCAAAAAGAAACCCCAGATAATTAGTGGCCAAAAATTCCTGAAGTCCGTGTGGAAAGAAAAGATCTTAACAACATATGGAAGAAGAAAAATGTCATCCTGTACAGCTCAATATAATCAAAATATGCCATAGTTAGCAACAGCCATTCCCGGAGAAAGCAAATGTATGGTTCCTGGTAATACACCAACCCAAATAAGAACCCAGCCCCAGGGCTGGTTTCTAGCCAAAATATGTCGTCGCATTTAAAGAGATTTTCACACATGGGGCGCCTGAGTGGCTCAGTCGTTGGGCGTCTGCCTTCGGCTCGGGTCATAGTCCCAGGGTCCTGGGATCGAGCCCCGCATCGGGCTCCCTGCTCCGTGGGAAGCCTGCTTCTCCTCTTCCGCTCCCCCTGCTTGTGTTCCTGCTCTCGCTATCTCTCTCTCTGTCAAATAAATAAATAAAATCTTTGAAAAAAAAAAAAAAAGAGATTTTCACACATCCAGAATGTCCACAAAAATTGATCAATCTTGGTGCTGAAAGAAAACGTTCAGAGCTCAGAAAAACTTGTTATTCTCTTATTCCAGGTGGGGTTAAGACAAGGACTGTCTTAGGTAGGGTCATCAACCATCCTTGGTTGGCTGGGACCAGAAAGTTTCTAGAGATGTAGGACTTTGCATGCTCAAGCCAAGATGGCCATGAGCACACTGGGACGGTGGGTTACCCCAGCACTAGTTTCTTCCAAGTGACAACGCAGGGAAGCTGGTTGGGCTCAAATGGTCTATAAAATTATGATAGAGAATTCTCTAAACTCTTCTAGTACTGCAGTTTCAAATTTGTTGTTTTCTCCTGCCTTCTAGGAAAATGTTCCTAAAATATTCAGCATTTGGTGGTTCATTCACTCATCCAGTTAAATATTGATCGTGTGCTTTTTCATGCCTTGGGCTGGGTGTGTAGTTACAATGACAAACACGCTCCTGCCTTCATGGGGCTCAGAGGCAAAGTGGAGAGCAGGGTATGAGAGAAACAAACACAACTATGCATATAATTGGAAATGTGATAGATGGTCTGAGGGAGAAGAACAGGGTGATATGCTTGAGAATGCCATAGAACATGTAATTTCCACCTGAGAAGCGGAGTTCTAGTTAGAAAAGCCTGTCTGAGGAAGTGGTATGGAAGCAGAGACCTGAAGGATAGGAGAAGAGAGGAGCCAGAGGGGGAACCAGGCTGCACTGCAGGAAATGAGTGTGTGGAGATGGCAGGTAAAATGTTCCAGGCAGAGGCAGAACATGCAAAGGACCTGAGGTAGGAAGGAGCCTGGTGGGTTGAAGGAGTTGAGAGAAGGCTAGCGTCTCTCTTCCCTTAAGGGGAAAGAGAAATGTTTTACCCTTCAGCTGGAAGAGTCAGGAGTGCTGGGAGTGATGGTGGTAACAGTGATCCAGCAGAGTTGGTGGGGC